GGGGGGGCGAAAAGCCCCCCCCCCCCCCTGCCCCATGCCCGGCGCCCCACGCTGCAGCCGCTCGCAGCCGGCCTGGTGCTGCCTGTGCCTGTGTTCGCTGCGAGTGCCTGCAGCGCAGGCCGCCGGCCATGGGGTGGGTGAGGAGCCGCTTTTCTCCCTGCAGGGAAGGAGCCCGGGGAACAGCTGAGCGCGGGGGGGGTGGGAAAAGTGGCCCCTCCCACACGCGGTGCCCGACACTGCAGGCGCTCGCAGCCTGCATGGGGCTGTCCGGAGTGTGCATAGGCAGCCCCACGCAGGCTGCAAGCATCTGCAGCGCGGGGCACCGGGCGTGGGGCGGGGAGGGTCTGCTTCCACCCCTGCATGCCTTCCCTGCCTGGGGTCCCCCGCCACCCACTTACCCGAGCTTCCCGCACAGGGCAGCCACATGCTCCCAGCCCAGAACCCCGGCTGGGAGGCGGGGCCAGGTGGGCCCCGCAGTTGTTGGAGCCCACCGGGCTTCCCCTGGGTCCTACTGCCCTTGGTTCCTGCATTTTTTACAGGAACCAAGGGCAGAGAAATATTTTTTTTCTAAATTTTTTTAGGAGCCCCAAGGGCCAGCTAGAATGGCCTCGTGGGCCAAATCCGGCCCGCGGGCAGTATTTTGTCCACCCCCGATCTAGCCGTAGGCCATATACTTGACACCCCTGGTTAAGTCATCAGCATATGAATTGCTTGTTGGATCGTCCTGGTATCTGTTTAAAATTCCCAAATCCTCTGAAAAAAATCTAATGTTCTCCAATTTAAAACCCCAGAATCTGCATTTTTCTGTGATTGAAATTAGATGTTACTATAGGTATCAGTTGGACATAATTTTTTACTGATATATTTACAATTTTAAAGCAATTTGGAAGCCTACCAGTGCCTCAATCATTAAAATAAAATATTGGGTTGTTATTGGGCACTTCTCAACCATTTTTGAACTGGACAGTGTCACTGACTCAGAATTTATACCAATGGGGCCTTTTGCAGTGACAACAAACACCCTTGTTGATAAGTTCAAACCATGTCTCACGTTGTTGACTTGCGTCCATTTACAGTGCTACCTGGTGGCCTTCAAGCTCTTTCCGCTGGTGATGACAACACCTTAAGGTGGCTGAAACAATATGGCAAAACCGTATACGCTAAATAAATAAGATAAATTCTAAATACCTATATATTTTGGCATTGGATTTTGGTTTTTTTTAATCATGGAGGGAAAAAAAAAAATCAGAGCTCCCCTTGCCCCCCTTTGCTCATCAGGACACAGGTCCATCTGTGACTGCCCCCCCTGTTTTTTGTGATGCTGAACAGTTGGGATATCCCTACCCATGCCATTGCCCCCCACTCCCAATTCACAGCTCCCCACCCCCTCCCAGCCCTGCTGGTGCCCCTCACACCTGACCTGCAGCCTCCCCCCACCCCCATCCCTACCGGTGCCCCTCACTTCTAACCCATTTCCCCCCACCCCCCAATATGTGGGGAAGCGGGCTGGGGTGTGGCATAGACAATGCCATAGGTGACGTGTTGGGGGAAGGGGTATGGGAGGGCATGTTCCCCACCCCCAGATTTCTATACCTACAGCAGCCCCATATTCCCACCTGCTCTGGCCCCAGCCCTGGCTCCAGGCACTGACCCTGCTGAGGAGTGGCTCCAGCCCTAGCCACCAACCCCACTCCCTCCCTCACTGTGCAGTCTCAGTGTGACCCACCACCTCAATCCTGCCACAAGTTGTGTCCCACTGCCCCCCCACCTCCTCACGTGTCACCTATGCCCCTACCATAGACTTACCTGCAGAGAACTGTGGGAGTTGCTCTCCACCATGCTGCCTGACTATATTGCCAGCCACACACGTGTGCACGTGGACATGCACACGGTACCACCTGTGTCTGATCGCCCTCCTGCTCCCCCCAGCCTCAAGCAGCCCCCTGTAGGCTGGAACTCTATCAGCCTGCAAGTGGAAGCCTGCAGTTTCCCAGGTTTTTCTCCTTTAAAGGAGAAAATCCACATTTTTCCATGGAAAACAGAAAGTCTGGATCCCTGATCATCAGGTACTGGTGGTGTAAAAGTGTACTGAAACCCTGATCTAAGTCACATCAACATCAAGTACACCCTTATTACAACACTTCACAACAGCACATTAATCTTTAACAACTGAAATGTAACAAGGGACATGGTGCACTGAATTCTACATGAGCTTATTATAAAAAAGAAGCCAACAGCATACTGGGTTATATTAATAGGAGTCGCAAATCTAGGGACACGATTTTTCTACTGTATTCAGCACTGGTGAGGCCTCACCTGGAGTCGTGTGTCCAGTTTGGGACCAGACCCTGCACTTCAAGAAGGATGTGGCAGATTGGAAATGATGCAGTACAGAACAACAAAAATGATTAGGGGCCTGGGAAGTATGACTTATGAAGAAAGTCTGAAAGAACTAGTGTTATTTAGTCTGGAGAAGAGAAGACCAATGTGGGAGGTTGAGGTTTGATAACATTCTTCAAATACCTAAAGGGCAATTACAGAGAGGATGGAGATGAGCTTCTCAGTGGCTGTAGGGGACAGGACTGGGAGCAATGGCCTTGAGATTCAGTCAGGGAAATTTAGGTTGGAGATCAGGAGAAACTTTCTGACTACGAGAATAGTCAAACATTGGAAAAGGCTATTTAGAGAAATGAGAATCTCCATCATGGGAAGATTTCAAGAGCAGGTTAGAAAGACAATTAGCTGGGATGGTTTAGTCCAAGATGATCCTGCTTTGAGGAGGCGGCTGGACTAGATGACCTTGTGAGGTTTCTGCTCTACCTTCCTATGACTGGGCAGAGAGGACAAAAGGCAGGAAGCAGAAAGGCCAGGTGAAGGGGAACAAAGTTGCACCCAGGGAGAGTGCAGGGCTAATTTGTGGCACACCTGCCAAAGAGGTTGTCTCCCAGTGTTGTAGAAGATTAAGTTTATCCTAATGGTTTTGCCTGGCCTCCATATCTAACCTAGGCCATGCAACACTATGGTGAAGAATGCCCAGCCCACTCACTCCTGCTCCGTGTATGCCTCACTACTGTGATCCAGTAATGTAGCTGCCTTATAGCAGCACTGTGTGTATGCTAATAAACATGCTTGACACAGAGAACCTAAAAAAAAAAAGCTAAGGCTTCTACGTGGCCTCATTTTTTAATGTGTGGTATAGGTGTAAGTAGGTGGGGCATGCTTAATGGCAGGGTTTCCAGGCACAGCATGAAGGCAACACAGATGTCCTTAGTTGCATTACATCTGATATCTGATCACAGCATGGTTTTAAATACATCAGCTCTCTCTCAGAGGTCTTAAAAAAAAACAACACTAAAAGAAAGGTAATATTTAAAAAGGAATCACTCTTTAATTTGTCATTGAGACAAGAATTACAATTTTAAATATTAAAGTGATATTGTGAGTTAAATTATTGAAGACTATATTGAAAGTACTTTATTGGAAAATTAAGTTGTTGGAAGTGTCTGGCTACATCACAGGTAAAACAAGACATAAAACAGTTAAAAATTCTCACTTTTTTTCAAAAATTTGTCAAAAACCACACTAAGTTAGATTAAGATATATACATGAGAAATCAGCAGCTTGATTAATGGGCAAAATGACATTGAATAATACTTCCAAACTATGTGCAATTAATAAAAATATATACAAGATTAGGAATTGATGAGGAAAGGAAAATTTAGAGTCGTTTTAAATTTCTCTTGCTTTGGGCACTTCCTGGCAGAGCATCTTTTTTATTTTGCCACTTTGCAGATGTTTTACAGCATTCTTTTGATCCATGAAAGGCACATAAACATACTATACAAAAGTCAAATGCACAGGTCTCTCGGCTACATAGTCCCCGTTTCTTTAAAGGCTGATATTTAGCAGGGTGCTGACATCTTGGACAGGGTTTTAAAGCTTCATCGGTAAAAAGACTTCTGGCAACCTGTAGCAAGATGGGTGGGGAGGAGGGTGGAAATTAACGCACATACAGCGTTTAGTTCCCACAGTACCTGTATCTTAAGAAATCTTCCTTTCCAGTTCTAGCAACTGAAAATTTCTTACCTTAAAATATTCTTCCTGTTTACTAGTTGATGATGAAACAGAACTGCATCTTGTAGCTATCACAGGCTCGATGCAACAAGGTGGGGTTTGAAATAAAGCAGTTTTGGCTTGAGCTTGTACAGGTCTTAGAGCAGATCTGCTTAGAATATTAAATCTTGTGGCAGCATCTTCAACATTCAAGAGGCATCCCTTTTAAAGATAATGATCATTAAGAAGGATATTAGGTTTCTATAGACTGAAAAAATAATCAGGGTTTTATTTAATGCATATTTTGGAATAATTCTAGGTTTCAGAACTATTTTTTCTTCCCTCCCCCCGCAAGGTACAAAATGCCACATGGTGCAAATTTCTCTAAGTAAAAAGAAATTTTTTACTTGATGAAGAGGTAGACAAAAGATGACTCTTGAAGGAAACATTGTGGTCAATAAATACCTGGCCCACTCACTCCTACTCTATACACGTCTCACTGCTGTAATTTGGTAAATGTAGCTGCCTTAAAGCACCATTGTGTAAATGCCAATAAACATGGTTGAGACAGAGAGCCCCCTCATTTTACTTTGGGGTGAACAAATTAACTCTCCTTTACCATTTCAAAGACAATGCCTCCTTACAGCTCCTCAGATTCTCAAGTAGAACAGAGATCAAAATAGTAAGCATCTTAAAAGGCATGACAGTCTTGTCACATGCACATCTTGTTGGTAAAACCTATCCTAGAGGCAAGTTAAGCCATGAAGTAAAACATCTGGGAAGAAGTCAAAGTTTGCATTTTACAAGACCACAAGCAGCAAATGAAATGGAAGAAAGGATGGGGTCTAAGTGGAAGTGAGGTTTGGGCCCCAGACTTTACTCGGTTACTATTTTAGACTTAACAGAACTGTCCTCAAATACATGATTATAAACATTGCTTGATGTATGGTATTGTTTGAAAATAAACAGAAAAACATAAAACATCTTGAACACTCTCACATGACTGTGTGTACATCCCATCATAGGTACTGGAAAAAAATTAACTCTTACCATAAGCTGAAATATTACTGCAACTTGGTAAGATCTTTATTCTCTTCCCTGTTCAAGTCTTATAAATAAATAAATAAATAAATAACTACTACTTTGGGGAAATACATTACCCCAGCTTCTGCCTTCTGTTGTTTTATGTACAATTTTCTCCTCTGATATGCATTTTTATCTTGAACAACAATTTCACGCCAGTTTTTGCTTACTTTCCAAATGCTGAAACAAAAAGTTATCATCATCATCATGCCCCTTCCAAATCAAGCTTCTGTTTCTACATGTGGCACAATAAGATCATAATATGGAAACTAACCACTTATCATTCTAACTTACCTTAAAAACATTATACAGCAATATTCTGCTAAGCAGAGATAAGATTGCAGATTTGGTTTAAACATAGTATCACCTCACATGTTCTTCTGCATCATGTAGAATCAGATACAGAAGTCTACCTGACTATTTTATTATAGTACCATAGCATTTCTGTAGATCAACTTATAGCAACACAGAACATATTTTCCTTTCCCTAAATAATTTACATTTTTAGATGGCTATATATTTATTTAGGAGCAAGCAGATTGCAAACTATATTAGCTAATTACAAAGCTGCATACTTTCTCTCTCAGAACAACTTTCATCCATTTCCCTAACCAAGTGTAAGATTTATTACTTCTTTTTAATAACATTAAGGAAATCTTGTTCCCACTAAAATCAGTGACAATCCTTACAGATTCCAGCTGGAGCCAAGATTTCACTCATAATGCCATTTTCTTTTCTAAAACTATCCCAATGACATAATAAAAGTTGTTCTTATATTAGGAAATCACCATTTTGGTCTTCATATTTTTAAGTGATTTAAAGAATCTTAGGCTTTTGAGGGATTAAAAAACAAGATATAATATTTTTAGAGTATGTATTAAGTGTTATAGTGGGTGCATATGTACATGTGCTTTACTGTGGAGTAGACTAATTAACTCCACAGTAAAGCATCATCATTTACACATGCACCAGTACTACAGTGAAGTAAATTAACTCCGCCATAAAATAGTACTGCCAGGGATAATACTATCTTATGGCAGAATAATTTACTGCACTGAAACATGTGTGGACACTGATTGCAGGCATAAATTGTGCCTGGTCAGCCCAGCTAGCTGGGGGTCCACTCCACTCCAGCTCGAACTGCTGTCGTCCTGGGCTCATATGTAAACACTGCACCCAGGAGAAGTTTCCTCTGGCTCAAAGGGCTCCAGAGTTAATTGTGTTGCATTAATTGCACACGTAGATGCTCCCAGTGTTGCTCTTTTTATTGCAAATAAATAAATAAATAAATAAATAAATAAATAAATCTATATCCTGATTTAGAGAGTTTTTAGTAAGTTTTAAATTTGCAGTTGCTCAGATAGAATAGAATCATAGATTGATGTATGGGAAACAGAGCTCAACATGTATTAATATTTTCACTGAAGATGCCAGTATTTTGTTGTGAATAAGTCTATAACAGTGGTCCTCAAGCTTTTGGCCCCATGGGCCTGATGAATGGCATGAGACTGTTGACAGGCCAAACTGAACCTTGTGTAACAGGACTGGGACAGGGCCCTGGCACCACCCACTCCCTGCCCCAGGCACAGAGATTGGGCCATGGGACCTGGCCCCACCACCTGGCCTTGCACTCTGGGATTGTGCAGCCAATCCAGCATGCAGGGTCCACAACTCCACGCGAGTCCAGAAATTTGGCAGCAGGGGAGGAGAGCCACCACTTCCCAACCAACAAACTTCTGGACCCACTGGGATCTGACCTGCAAGCCAGTGGTTGAGCATTCCTGGTCTAAAATTAGATAGAAAGAAGAGGCTAGGTACCAGTGACAATCCTTGTCACATCTACACATCATTAATAGATTGTTAGTGCTCTGACAAAAAAAATAAATAAATAAAAATAAAAAAGGCAGCCCTGGGTCTTAACTAATATGCAGAAAAGCAACTTTTAAAATACAATTTATGTCTCTCTTTCCTTCTTACCTGCACAGGTTTTCCACAGTCAAAGCCTCTAAAACTATTGCAAGAACATGCTTCAAATCTCTGTATTTTAATTCTGTTAAAATATCTAATTTTTCAAGGCCCATTTTCTTGCCTATAAGTCCAGCAAGAATATAGTCCAATACAGACATTTCAGCCCCATAAGCATTTTCCAAACATTCATTTTGCTGTGAACTTCTCTTTTGTCTTTGAATGCAGATTTCCTGGACTACTTGTAAAGCTGGGGTTCTTGATAAATCCCCAAGTTTTACAAACAAATTTCCACTGTTCTCTTCATCAAAAACCAAGCCACTTTCTTTGTTGACAGTTTCTCTTATTTTTAATTCATATTCTGAATTATTTAGAGTGATATCATTGTCTTCCTCTGTCTCAGAGTGTGAGCCCCTTTCCTGAAGGGTGGATAGTCTTCTGAATTGGTCTAGTTTTCTTAGCTTTCTGTTAATATCAAGAATTTTGGGAGTTTCTTTATGATTTTGAAAGAGTTCTTGGAAAGATCCCTCTTGGTGAGACAAGGAATCTTCCGTTTTATCCAAGCTAAGTGAATTGTACCCACTATCTTCAGGTGTTGAAAGGTCCAGGTCACTTACCACTTTAACAGGGGGAGTAGGTGTATCAGATAAATTAAGCTTAAAATTGGCTAGGAGGTTGCTGACTGGGGTCAAAAATTTATTCTCATTTACCCAAGACAACATACAAGTAGGTGTTTTAAGCAACTGCATAGAAGTACTTTCATTACTACTGCTTGTGAGGGCACTATCAATTAATTCATTAGGAGTCTTTCCAACAGTAGTCTCTTTAGAAGCATTACATTGAATTGGCGATAGACATTCAGGTTCTGGCAGCAAGCTGTTTTTACATTTGGAATCATCTACAGTAGAAGTCCTTTGCTGTGAAAAAGCAAGTCTCCATTTTTGACAACTAGGGCTAGACTCCTCAGTTTTTAAGGTGCTAGTAGCTAGAGGTTTATAATTTTTATCTCTTGGAGAATCTGAAACACTTTTTGCAAGCCCATCTTCAAAAGAGAGACTATGAGATAAAGTTTTTTTCCTGCTATTCCATGAAGAATTGGCTCGTCTTTCAAAGCACCCTAAAGTATTATCTGAAGCAGTTTTAGACAGAAGCAGTCTCCTGCGCAGTGATGGGTCTTTTTTACTTGCTTTAGGAGTTTCAAAAAAATCTACACTAAGATTTGCTTTTCTTCTTTCTGATAAGAATGTAGAGTTCTTTTCAATTTCAGTGGAAGACAATACAGGAATCACTAAACTAGGGTGTGAATACTCAGAACATTCATGTAGCAACGAAAACGCTTCTTTATGTTCTGCATCAGGATGATCTAAGCAAGGGTCTTTTAATGATTCATTGTATCCACTGTCTTGAAAGATGGAAGTGGAGTAGGAGTCTTTAAAACAGGAATATTTGATATTGTTGCTGGGAGAGGTCATCCAGCTTCTTTTAAGAGTAGTCAGCAGGGAATGGCTTTCTGACATCTTCTTGGAATTTTTCCAGTCCTGTAAAGTCAAGACACTATTTTTCTTTCTGGACTAAGCCATTATTAACATTTTAATGTAGTTACCAATTGATATAAATTTATTATACCTAAAGGGTAACTGTTGTTTTTCTATGCAAACTTATTTAACTATCAATAGTAGCCACAGGAAAAGAAAAATCAATTGCATCTTAATGGAAGAAATGTTCATTGACCAATATGATCATGCATTATAGATATTTAGAAAAGTTGGTGGCAAATGATTAACATCAGTTATGTAACCAGGATGAACAGCTAAAAGGCACAACCTAGATTAAATGAAAAGTGAAAACACATATCCAATTAGCTAGCTGATCTGCTATTCTTCTTCCATGAAAGATGCTTTCAATGAGATCATGGACACTGCAGGTGAAACCTTGGCCCCACTGAAGTCAATGATAAAATGATTTTTGAAAGCCAGTCTTTGAGCCCCTTCATTACAACAGAATCAGGTTTTCACCCATATGTACACTTTCCAGTCCTTCTGCTTTCTGACAGTTTGGGTCTTGAGAACTAATGGGTTAGTTCATTAAAAATGGGAGAAGAAAAAGGCATGTGTTTAAAGAAAGAGTAGAAAGAAAGCATTAAATTAACTACCACTGCTCCCTTCAATTAGTCACTGAAACCAGCGAGTTGGCCAACTTCCAGCGTTTCTACTCATGAACTGATCAACCCTTGGATATGGATAAACCCTTGGAATTCCAGCTCAAAGGACAACAACCAACCATGTAACTATACTTCGCTTCTTTACAAATGTATAGTAATCACCAAATATTTATGCTCAGTTCTATTCATAGTTGAAAGTAATACAACCCCATACCCAGTGCTTGTGGAAGCTTTGGGACAACTCACTTCCTTTCTAGGGTATGGACTGAAAGATGGTCAACTCAATGGCAATATGTCTCCCTACATCCCTTGCTCCTTTTACCCCTCTCCTTTCCCCTGGTAAGAAGCATATTTTATTTTTGACAATGAAAGAAACAGCAGCAGTTCTATAGGAACTTATATGGCTTTTCTCTGAAAGATAAGATCGGTGGTTCACTCATACAAGTTATAAACACCAGAAAAGAATGCAGGCTGATCACTGTTTCCATTCAGATATGAAGAGGGATCTTTTCCACGATGCTAGGTCAAGACAGGAACACAGATCAGTTTACTACTCCGCAAGCACAAGACTCAGTAGACAAATAAACAGATTCAGAATAATACAACTTTATGAGGAACAGTATTTCAAGAGACACTAGAGCCACTACAATACAAAAGCATTATATGCTTTTGGAAAGTTTGACTCAAAACTTTGACTATACAATACTGGTCCCTAATCTTGACAGTTTGGGAGATGCACCTGGAAACAGTCGTTCGTATTTTAGAACCAACAAAAATATTCATAAGGCCACATACCAGAGTAGGTGGTCTTCAGTGGTTCAAGGATCCTGAGATGGTTTCCTCTCCATTGCAAGGAACAAGGTGAGTGCAGTACATCTGCTAAACGAGGTTATACTTTGATGGTTTAGGGGTATTAGAATAGTTACCCAGTGATGGCGAGTCCACAAGAAGGGAGAAGTTTTCCCTATAGTAAACAGATCTCACCACACACACACACTTTTTGGTAGAGAGAAGGATAAGACAGACACAGCGTAGTGGGAAATTATGAGGAGAAATACCAAAGACCAATAGGGTAGGTAGTCTTTTGCCTATAAAATAATAAATGAACATAAATATAAGGTCAAAAGAATAGCAACAGAAAAATGGACATGAATCCATTTCTGAACACAGAATTTGGACTAGCATTCAGATGTTCTTGTGCAAGTAGAGGCTGAAGGTGAATTTTTTTGCATTATAACATGCAGGGCAATACTCTGCTTTTGCCCCTCAAAGTTGCTGTTCACTTCAGCAGGCACTCCTTTTTCCCATCCCAAGCCAGACAGTGCCCTGGGAATCAAGATCTGCAGTGGAAGAGAGTTCTGAGAGGAAGGCTGTGCATTTTTTGGTTTGTTTGTTTGTTTGTTTGTATTGGTTAATTTCCCTTCTTTAGACAGAAGGCAAAAATCTCATAGTGTCCCCGGCTGGATCTGTCTGGAACCATAGCAGCATATTTATATTAAACGTACAGCGATGTTTAAGTTGCTGCTGTTACTATCACCATCACCACACCTTTTCAAATCATAAAGTTAAAGATTCAGATTAATACTACCTGCATGATCAGTTTCAAAAGTGTGTGTGGGGGAGTAAGAAATCAATAAAAGCACCAATATTTTGAGTCAACTATAAATAGCTTATTTCTTTTCATCTTAATATTTTTAAATCCAGAGACCTTGTTGAAAAAAAATAAAGCTTTCAAGCAAAGAAACATGAAGCCATACCTAAAACTTGAGGAAAATAAATAAATCTTTTGCTACTTCAGTGGGTATTGGATCAGACTGATAGCCAGGAGAGATACCAGGAATACTAGAAAGAAAGTGCTGTACTAGAAAACACACACAAATACTTGATAGGCAAATGACATTGGTGACTGTTTGGAAAATTTACCTGCATTAAGCTTTGAATCCTGATTAGGGTTTTTTGTTTTTATAAAACATCCATTTGCTCACAGACCTTGTCTCTGTGCCTGCCAGGGCAGGACTGGGCAGGTACAACATCGAACCATAGAACATTAGGGTTGGAAGGGACCCGAATGTTAACACCTAGGTGATGGCCCTGCTTTGAGCAGGGGTCAGACAACTAGATCATCCAAGCCAAGGCTTTGTCTAGCTGGGTCTTAAAAACCTTCCAAGGACAGAGCTTCCACCGCCGCTCTGGGTAACCTGTTCCAGTGTTTTACTCCCCTTCCAATGAGAAGGTTTTCCCTCATATCTAATCTAAGCCTCCCTTGCTGCCACTTGAGACTGCTGCTCCTTGCCCCATTATTTGCCACCACTGAGAACAGTCCAGCTCCATCCTCTTTGTAGCCACCCTCCAGGCAGCTGAAGGCTGCTATTAAATTCCCCCCTCAGTCTTCAACTCCTCTCCAACAAAAACCATTAGAAACAACTGGGTCCTTGAACCAAACTCTGCCACTAGCTTCAGGCGAGCCAATAAGAACAAGGAGAGAACAATCCTTGCATCAGACTCGGCGCTCTCCAGGTTGCTCGGGGCTCCTGCCCGTTGGAGCAAAGGGACAGAGCGGACAAGCCTCCTGGTACAAGGCAGGGCAGTGTCCCGGCCCCCCCACGGCACCAGCCTTCTCCCTGCAGCAAACAGGGTTTCGCTGGAGGCGCCCATCCATCGCCCGTCAGGGGAGAGGAGAGGAAAGGAGAGGAGATGCGCCGGTCGCGCTGCCCCGTGGCTTTGGCATCACTTACCCAGCTGTTTCACAAGGCAGGAGATGGGGCAGGGGGACCTAAGCCCACGAGGGCTCCAGCTTAAAGGGGGCACTGACAAGGTCTAGCCCCCAGGGGCCGGGGCGGGCCACGG